CGGTCTATCTTCTCCTCTTTGCCTGTCCTTCTGCAGGATGAACTTTGATGACTTCTGCCAGTATTTCACTGACCTGATCCTCTGCCGCCTCATCAACACCTCCTACCTGAGCATCCACAAGACCTGGGAGGAGGAGGTGATGAGGGGCTCCTGGATCCACCGCCAGGACCCTCTTCGGAACCGATCGGGAGGCTGCATCAACCACAAGACCACCTTCCTGCAGAACCCTCAGGTCGGTCAGCAGCAGTGTTGGTCAAGTTTCTTGGAAATAGGGCTGGACTATATGGCTTCAAAATGTGTCACGATATAAGGGGTTTATATCAGTTGACATTGATAATTATTGATCAGTTTTTGTTTTAAATATTAGAAATGCTGCCAAACTGGTGTTGCCAAACGTCCCTGTTTCATCCAGTTTTCTCTCCACACTGCTGATTTTTATGTGTAAGCAGTTATGAGGCACGGAGGCAAAACATGAAGCTGCTGCTGTGCAATTTACTCAACAGGTTGTTGCTAGGCAACTGAAGTTGGGGAGAACTTGTAACTGCTTGTCGCTCAGCAGGTTGTTGCTAGGTAACCAAAGAGTGAGTGAGTTAGCCCATGCCACCAACCTAGCTTAGCTGGCCATGAGAAGTTGAGCGGCTAAAAACTTTCCTCTGCCTATATCTCCCAGAATTCTTTGCAGTTCAGTGAAATTATTGGATATTCTATCAGACGTATTATCTGTTGTTATTGATCACGTGTCTATGGGAATATACGTTGTTATTAATTTATTGTGTCCAGTCTTACAGTAGTTGCTAATTACTGATTAATTAGACAGTTATCCAGTTACGTTACTGATTACTTATTTTCAAAAATATTGTTTTTATTACTTTACTTTGTTGCTTAGTTAAATAAAAATGCACAACCTGAATGCACTGTAAGCTATATACCTTTCTGCCTAGTCCATCATATCATATTTAGTCAAAATGTTACGGTTTATGATTTTGATTAAATCTAATGTATGTGATAGACTCTGTATCTATGACAACTTAAATTAAATTAAAATGTAACTTAATTTTAATTTAATTAAAATTAAACTTAATTTTCATTAAGTTAAAATTAAGTTAAATTTTAACTTTGTTTTTATTCATTTTTAACAACAATGACATTTTTTCTTAGTTAAAGTCTATCTTACAGCAGTACACCTTCCACAATACAGGCTGACAAAAATAGACAAAATAGCAATAATATTCAATCAAGTTTCAATCATTCAAGTTTTAGAACATTTCAGCAATAAGGGAGTTCAAAGTGGTTTACATCATGAAAAACATAAAAACATCATAAACACATCATGCAATCACCAATTGTAAATCCAGTTACAAAATTACACATCAAATATGTTGATTAATGTTCCATTTATTATGGTTTAAAAGCAACTCTGAACTGGTGGGTTTTTAGTTTTAGTGTTTCAGTGTTTCAGCAGTTTTGCAGTTTTCTGTAAGTTTTTTCCAGATTTAAGGTACATAGAAGCTGAACTCATCACTGGTCACCAGCTGTGGAGGGTAATAACAGATTCTTGTTTTTTTTCCTACCAGTATGTGTTTGACGTGAAGAAGGTGGAGGACGAGGTGCTGATCTGCTTGCAGCAAAAAGAGAAGAGAGCCACGCCCAAAGAAGGCAAAGGGGAAAATCTTGCTATCGGCTTCGATATCCACAGGGTAAAACACCAAAAAAAAGAGAAAAAAGCAATAAAAACACAATTGCTTCTATTTTTTTCAAACTTCTGTTATAACATCTTGTCAATCTGCAGGTGGAACTGAATCGAAAGTACCGTATGCACAGAGCCCAGCAGAAAGTAGCCGGTTCCATTTACATCAACTCACGCTGCGTCTTCCTCAGGAAGGAGCTAAAGGAAGGTCGATATGTCATCATCCCCACCACCTTTGACCCCGGGCAGCAGGGAGAATTTCTGCTCCGGGTCTTCACTGATGTGCCTTCAGACTGCAAGTAATTATGAGGGGCAATCAAGAAAACCTGTAATTCAACCTCTTTAAGACATTATAAAGACGGTTTGATCTTTGCCAGGTTCTATGGTAATTTAAATCTTAACTCTTAAAACTCTACAAAAATACTCATTAAAGATGCAGAAATAATGAGCTTATCAGTTTTGTTTCTAATGTCATAAACATTGAATCTTTAAACTTTCTGTTTGTGTTTAAAATGAATAGAAAGTGCTTGTTGCTTTGTTGGAAAGCAGCAGCAGAAGCTCCTTCAGGTTGAAATATCTCAGTGTTTCTATAAACTCTCTCTCTCTGCAGAGAGCTGACTCTGGACGATCCTCCTCAGACCTGTTGGACAGGGATGTGTGGCTACCCTCAGCTGGTCACTCAGGTCCATGTAGTGAGTGCTGAGGGGCTGCAGGGACAGGACACCAATGGAGGTAAACAGCAGCTGCAGTCTGAGTGGGGGCCTCCAGGGGCTGCTGTGGAAACCGCAGAAAGTTAGAGGGAAAATGAGGGAACAATATTCAAAAATAAAGAAATTGAGTCCCATACATTTTTATGTTAAATTTTTTTCAGTTTTTTTTTTTTTTTTGTTAATGAAAATAAGTTAAAATAAATCATTATTTTTGATGCTCATTTTCTGATTGGCTGCCAGTCAAATTCATCAAGCTGCTTTGCTCCTTAAGCTAGCATCGCTAGCAAGACATCTAAAATATTCTGATGAGAAAAAAAATGAGAAAATAAGATTTGATGGAATTAATCTAAAATATTACATATTTTCCTATCAAAAGAGGGGATTGTAATAAAAAATTTTGTTATTTGACAATAAAGTCATAATATATTATCTGATAAGATTTTCTCAAACAAATCTCATGGCCATCTAACAGTTGATGTTTCTTTGCATATTTTGTAGCATTGTGTGTCGATTAGCAAAGGGCGTCCCCAGCAAGAGGTTAACGCTCTTTGGGGGATCGTGGCCTGGAAATCTTTGGGAACCCCTGAACAAAGCTAGTGTTTAGGATGGAGCAAAAGGTACCACAGTGCCTCCTGGCTGCCATTCCTTTACTTTTTCTTTTACTGATTTCATTTTAGGAGTAACTTTAATATGCCTTTTAATTGAAGCCCACTTCATTATTAAAATCTGCAGTTTACTTAAAGCAGTTAATAAGCTTTTTTTTAACGTAATTTATTAACAAAAAGTGCTTCATAGAAAAAGCAAATCCATCCAGTCAGTTACATATGGTCTATTTTAATCCGGTTTATTTCAGTACAGTCAAAATGTGATGACATAGTGGAAATAACTTCGAAACATTTAAGGACGAATCACTTTGCAACAAGAATCCCTCGAGAATCCCCCTCTTGATTTTTATAACTGAAGAGTCAATGACCTTTAAAAACCTAAGAATAATTTTTTGTCAGGTGCGGTGGGTGAGAGGTGGTGAGGAGAGACGCAGAGACCCAGGTCGTGAAGGAAATGATGATGATGATTTTAATGATGAAAAGCTCTGAGCAGTCTAACACAGGCGGCATGGCAGAGAGTTTAGCGCACAGCTAATTAACGGTAGTAACTGATAACAGAGGACTGAAAACAAGAGCTGACGCTAACCAGGACTTAACAGTTCGACTGGAGAGCAGAACGTGAGACAACAACAACTGACTTCCGACGTACACACGACGAGGATCCGACAAGATACAAAGACAACAGGTGGGACTAAATACACTGGGAGGGTAATCAAGGAATGAGACACAGCTGGGATCAAACAAGACAGAGACTCACAGGGGAACAGTATAATAAACACAGAAAAACCTCAAAATAAATACACAGAAACACAGATCATGACATTTTTAACCTAAACTGTGAAATTATTTACTTTGTAACATCAGACAGTTGGAGTCTCCTCATGTTTTCCAGTCTCCTCTTAAAATATTATTTTTTTTTACTGGATTGTAACTCAGTTTGAAGTATTGGCTTACTGCTACTTCTATTTATTCTTTATTGTTTCTTTGTGTTGTCAGTGTGCAGCACTTTGGCCAACTGTCTTGTTTTTAAAGTGCTTTAAAATGAATGTGGGTTGGATTGGAATCAAAAAGAGGCATTTTAAAATACTAAAAGGCTTAGAATACTATTTATTTTCGAAGATAACATCTCTGAGAATAGTTTGGATACATTTAATAAATAGCAAAGAAATAAGCAGTTGTTTCAGTCCTTGCCCTGCCATACAGGGAGAAACTTGTTCCAGTCTCTGGTAATCTGACTGGTGCAACTCAAGTAGATTTCATGCAAACATCATGTCTAACACTTTTATTTATCACAGTGTTAATTACGTTGTAAACCCCTTAACTCATTAATTGTGAACAAAATCCGTAGTAGCAACGAATACAGATAAATAATTGTCAAGTCTTATCTAAACCTTTTTAATCAGTCAGTGTAAATTCTTAATTTTTTGACTAGGTTAAGATCATAATCAAACTTTTATCTGCAGAAAAAGATAAAATTACATATTTATGTAATTTTCTGACTTTTTTTTTTCTTGCAGCTGTGGATTCTTACGTGATAATCACCTGTGAAGGAGAGAGAGTTCGTTCACCAGTTCAGAAAGACACACGTTGCCCAAACTTTGACATCAAAGGCCTGTTTTATCGCAAAAAGCCCAAGGAAGCCATCCATATCGAGGTGAGCAGTCACTCTGCTGATTCAGCACTCAGGATGGTTTAAACCGCCTCCTCATTTGGTCCGGCCCCCTGAACAATACCGGATCCGGCCCGCCTCCTCATTTGGTCCAGCCCCCTGAACAATACCAGAGAGCATTCAGTGTTTTTTTTCATATATGTGTGGATTTTTCTTCAACCACCAGGGGGGCTCTTGAGCAGATATGAAACTTAGTTTCCCTTAATGGAATATATACTAGTCAGTACCAGTCACCGTTTCGCTCACGTTTTTTTTCGATTTGCATTCTGGGTAAAAATCTATCTACAAACGCGAATATGTCGTCGGCAGTAATCCAATTCCAATTGTTATAAAAATTGTGTATATATCAAATATGACAAGAAAAATACACTTCTCAATTTAATGCTTTGAATTTGGGCCTCTTTAAGCTCCTGGTCTTTTTGACAATGCCTTCAGCACGTCATAACAACAGTGCTCCTCCATTATGTTGTTTACAACTATTATGGTTGTAAACAACATAACAGAGCATTGAACTGAGTAGTAGTTTGTATGATTAGCTCAGCAGATGTACAAATTCACCAGGTATTTGCTAATTGCTACTGACTACTCTGAAGGAGCTGAGTGGGGAGTCGCCTTAAAATGCATTCACTGGTCAATCTCCAATTTAATCAAATGTCTCAGTTAACCTATCAGAAGCTTTTAATGCTTCTGATGGGTGATGACATCAGGTGATGATGACTCTGATGTCATCATCTGATATATCTCAGATGACATCTCAGATGATGATGTCATCTGAGATTTCCCTCATTGTTAGACAGATAGTAATAATTCTGTATATAAAACGATATTGACATTAACAAATACTTTTCTGACATATTCTGGTTGTCATTATTGTAGTATTTAAGTAATAGAAATATGATGTAACTTCAAACAGGGAGAAAAAAATGTATTTTTATTAGATACATGTAAACTTCTGGTTTACATGTATGGGTTAACTGTATGTGCTAATACAGTTAACCCATATTATTTCCTGTCACAACAATGAATTGTGCTGTTTCAGAAGTTATTGCAATAAACAATAATATTGCTGTTTTGAGCCCATTTTCAAATAATATAAAAGTAATGGCATATTGCCAGTTCACAATCTCAAAGATCAATAAACCTTAATTTCTAATGAACATTTTACATATTTGTCATGCATTCTTTGGTAGAAAAGAGTGAGAAGCTTTATCATGCGGTAATTTTTTTTTTGCTGCTTATGTGTTAGGCTATAACATAAAGTACCAATACAATGTTTTGTTTGCAACACAATCAAATTTGAAAAGCTTCTGGGTCTACTTCTTCGTTTGCAAATCTCTGCAGCTCTCTTTCTTCTTCTTACATTTCTTTCTGTAAGGTGTTTCCTTCCCTTTTCTTACCCTTTTCTGTTTCCCACCTTTCTTTTCACTTTCCATGAGCGTTGCTCAGATCTACAACAAGAACATGATCATGGACACCTTCCTGGGACAGGTGGTCCTGTTCAGCGAGCCCAATGAGCGGCAGGAGCAGCACACTCTTCACCTCCGTGACAAGGGTAGTCGCCAGGACAACGACATCCCGGGCATGCTCACTGTGCGCCTCTTCACCTCCACCACGCTCACCAACATCTGACGAGCTTGTTACCGAATCTGGGGAAGCTCACCCATCTTTCTGAGCTCACTGTCCTTCACTTTGTTTTCCTGCTTTTTCTTTTTGGGGAGTTTTTCAAAGTACCTGCATCCATATGTGTAGGTACAAGGTGCCATAAGGGTTATGTTTTAACAAATTCCTGCTAGAATAGAATGGATAATGTTATTTATTGTCATAATATTATCTGAAACTGGGCCACTCTACAGGTTTTGATGTTGGAAAGCTTCAGTTAAAGGGGACCTATTATGCAAAATTCACATTTTGCACATTTTTCTCCTTCCATTTGGGTCTCAACTGTTTCTAAAAGCAGCCCAAGTGCTTTAAAAAACGTTTTTTGGAAATAAATTCATGAGTTTCAAAAACCTCACAATTGTTAAGTCACATTCCACAGGCACTGCGCCGTTGCTTAGCAACCCCACCCAGGCCCAGCTCTGTTACCTAGCAACCCAACTCCAGCACCTTTGGTCAACTGGGTTTAACACTGCTGGAGAAGACAAGTGTATTCTTGTTGACTTGTAACTCCACGATCCATTTATCGGCTAATTTGCTCATGTACTAAAAGAAATACTTCCAAGAAAGGTATGTTTGTTTGTTTTTTCTTTTGGTAATCATTGTAATTGTAAAAATTCTATTTAAATCAATTCAGAAACACTTTATTAATCCTACAGGGAAATGAAAAGCTGTTGAAACTCCTATTTATTCAAACATTTTCAAAGAGTTATTGTAGATGTTATATATAAATAAATAAATAAATAAATAAGAATAAAAATATTTTTAATTATTATAAACTATAAATAAAAGAAAATAGTACATGTTTTAAAGAGAATAACTAAAAATAAGAATAAATACAGTATTACTGGATTTTGAAAGACTATTTTCTAAGAACGACCTTCCAGTGTTTGTATCTGTGAATCACACGTGAAGAACGATAGAGTAATATTAGGATATAGTCTTGTACAATTGATAACACCTTTAGCTAATCTCATAAAAGATATGATTGTTATGAAAGTAAAGGTCCTTTTTTTGTCCACGATAAGTATCTCACAGTTCCTTCAGTCCTATTACATTTTTTTTACTGAATAATGATTTATGAACCAAATTATAAAATGTATTATTCATTAAGAGAATTATAACATAGTCCAGAAAAATAGCATAAGTAGTTTTTTAATTAATATAAATGAATATGTTAATATATATTTTGAGAATGATCCAGAAGTATTTTCTTCAGTGCATGCGAAAGTTAGCAAGCGGTACAGATTGTGTTTCCTGAACAGACCGTGCAGTGGCAACCCATTTTTGTTGGTTGTGTAGGAGGATCCTCTTCTGCTTTTCAAAGATATACAGTTGTATAGTTGTGCATCTGTTTGCATTTTTCAGCCTCCTGTCCTCCCTTCCTGTCATTTAAAGTCACAACAGGCCCTAAAACATCTGAACTGACCACACTAAAATCTCATTATCTGAGAATGATTTAGTGCCAAATCTGTAATGAGCCAGTAAAACTATTGTTGAGCAGGTAAAACAACAACAACAAAAACATCCCATAAAACAAATATTTGATTTTTTAATTTTTTTTAATTTTGTGGTCCTCCAGTTGTTTAAATTTCCAGTTTTGGCCCCCAATGGCAAAACGTTTGGTCACCCCCTGCCCTAGACCTAACCTGTTCAAGGAAGCATAATAGGTCTCCTTTAAATGAATTATCCAAAATTATTTACTACAAACTGAGTTTACCCTGGTCTTGCAACACATTATGCACACATTTCTGCACTCTCCATGCATGTGCCAATCTTTCCAAGGGCTCTGCAATGCCTTAAGGCTGAGTCGGTCTCTCCTGTTTCAGGAGACGGGGGGAGGAGTTCTGTGAAAACTGTTTTCAGTGTTGGCACCGTCTGATCTACAGCCTTCTGTCCCACCTTCCTGTCAGAGCTCAATCCCCCTGCCCAGACGCCTCAGCTCCTCGTCAGGTTGCAGCTGCTTCAGAGAGCATCCAGCCTGAACTTTACAAAGAAAAGCCAACAGCAGCTATTTCCTCCCTCTACCAGGAGCTTTCTTTTCCTGCGCTTACGTGTAAAGTCTTCGCCTCCCCCGTCTCCCGTCACTTCTAAACTTGCTGCCGGTTGCTCTGGACGATCTGCAAACTGCATGGCTTGAAAACGTTTCTCCCTGTGCTGCACATTTATCCAGTCGTAGCTTAGCAACCGGGGCTCCTGATCGTTTTCCCCAATGTTGGAGTGCAAAGATTCAGCTTCACATAAACCAAGTGCTTTATGGGACCAAAGATGAGCCGTGCCCTTCGCTCTCTAACGTCCCGTTCAGAACCTTCTGGCCTAGCCACAAACCACCACCCCGTGTGCCACTTCATCTCTTAATGGCAACACCACTGCCTGATGCTTCCGTTGACGAGAGTCCGACGGGTCGACCCGAAAGACTCGCCGAAGACAGCGGCCGTGCTTCTGAGAAGACGCCAGCTGCGTTTCCATTGATCATAAATTAGCCTAAAGTTGCAGTATGTAACAAACTCCGGTTGTTGGTCATGTGACTTGTGTGATGCATGTTTCCATTGCAGTTTTGTGAAATAAACAAATTTCGATACTGTCAAAAAAACCACTTCAAACTTTTTAAAAAAAAAAAAACAAGTTTTTTTTTCAAAATGGCATGTATCCTGTTGCAGTATGTAACTTTAAAAAAAAAAGATGTTTTTTCATATTTGTTCATACTATCATGTAGTGACAATATAATATGAGACAGACAAACTGTGGAAAGATCAATCTCCTCCACGTCCTCCCTGATCTACTATTGCTGTCTGAAGAAATGCAGTGCTCCAGACCAAAAACAACCAAGCAGGGCGAAGAGAATCTAAGCGCTGTCAATCATCCTCATGTACTCACTGCTAAATGTGCTAATGGTGGAAAAACAACTTACTGTTATAAGAAAACAGTTTATCTTCTATCATTGGGGGCTATTCTAAGTAGCCTCAGCTAAATAGCTTGAGGGTGATTGACAGCGTTAAGACCCACCTCATGGCTCTGATTGGCTGCTTCTGGTTAGCGCTGGTAGAAGGCAGAGGAGCTGTATTTTTTTTTTCAGATTATCTGTATTATACCATACTGTCACGACATAGCGACAGATTCAACAAATGTGCAAAAAATATATTTTTTATAAAAGTTACATACTACAGTAGAAAACACCAATTTAAAAAACAAAAATAAACTTGTTTTTCCACTAAGATGAGGTGGTTTTTCAGTCATGAAATTGCAACGGAAATACTTCTTTCACATCACACGAGTCACATGACCAACAACTGGACGTTGCCACTGGTGCAAACCACTAAGAAGACAACAGGAAGTAGTTGGATGATCATTGCGTGGCATGTTTTTTTAATGTCTTTTCGCGTGAACAAACTTCTTCACGTGAGATTCTTAATTGTGTTTCTTATTTAATGGAAACACGACAATTATGAAATTGTGTTTTTTCAATATTAGTGGAATGTCGTCAAAGTTTGTGGTTGGAAACGCAGCTTGTGTGTTTGTCTCGCTTTCTGCCGCTTTGCTTCAGATGTGGGTGAATGCAGATCTGTTGATCCTGTTTGTATCTGGAAGTCACATTTCTGTGGGAAGGTGTGAGCAGAACACCTTGCACTTTAATTAACTTCAAGGACAAAGAAACAGGAAGTTTTTATCAGCGGAGACGTTTCTGCCAATCAGCTTGTGCCATCGTCTCGGTCTCGGCAGGATGGATGAACGGATCTCTCTCTTGTTAACCATGACTCTTCCTGCATCGGTCATGTGGCCACATGGTGTGAGCTTTTCGCTCCTGATGAACTTTGTTTTGGTTTTGTTGACTCAAAAGTGCAGTCTTGAGTTTTATGCACTGCTGGAGTTTGTTTCTTTTGTTGTTAGAAGTTAGGGTTTAAACTGTAATCTATCATCAATGCATTTCCTTTGAATGTAAGGCTAGTCTCTTGTGAGAAACTATCACATCAGTTTTTCTGTTTTGTTTTATCACTGCAGTGGTCACATAAGGCGTTATTTAAACTGGTCGCTCCAGTTATTGTCAGGGTTCCTGCACAGTGTTGAAAAGTCTAGAAAAGTCTGGAATTCAGGGTTTTCCTGGTCTGAATGGGAAAATTAGAGAATATTTGCATTTATAAAACGTTTTTCCCAATTTGTCAGCTGTCCCTTCCTTCCTTCCTTCTTTCTTTCCTTCTTCTCTTTCATTCTCTTTTCTTCCTACCATCCTTTCTTTGTCTCTTTCTTTCTTCCTTCCCCTCTGTTTTTTTTTCATGTTTCTTATTTACAGCCCACAGTATAAATATCATAAGTTCCTGTTGAATCTTGATATTTTAGACAGAGTGTTATAAACGGTCTGAGGTTTCTGCAGGTTTTAACCTGCTACAGTATTTTAGATTTTCCATGTGAAGGAACCCTGTTTTGTGTACAGCATCCCTATAAACGTGTCGTGCATGACTTATTTTCCAATATGTTCATGGCCTTGTACGGTACTGCTCAACTGTTACTATATCTATTTATTCTTTCTATCTGGATCGTCATGGAAATGCTCGCTTTTGAGGAGTCAGCATGTGGACACCCGATGACCCTCGTCCAGTTCGGATCACATGGAAGGCTTTGAAGCAGCAGCTATGTCTTATTACTGTTATGCTTTCATAAAGCCTCTAGCATCTGAACATTAGCAGCAGATGTTGACCTCTATCTAGGTGCTACTTCTCTTTGCTGTACTCATTATTTTCAGTTGGACAGGACGTGGAAGCTGCTCCTTTTCCAGCGTTTGGACCTGTAGAACCAAACCCTGAACGATTGGTTTGGATTTTATTCACAAAGACGAGGATAAAACACGGAAACCCACCAAACCCATTTATAAAGTTCTGTTGAAGTTTTCTGCACTGAACTCACTGAACAGTGTGGCTGAAAAGGATTTGCTCCCTTAGAGGTTTTAGATGCTTCTGATCACTAAGCAAATTATAATATCAGACAAAGATCACCTGAGTCCTTACCAGATTATGTTTTCTTTCGACAGGTCAGATAGTTCAGGTATGCCTGGTTATGTCTTGTTAGATTGACCCAAAATAATTGAGTTAGTCAAGATGAAACAAGAGGGAATTATATTTTGAATATTTTTTCTTTTTTTTTCCAACTTAATTAATGCAAAAAATGCATTTTTTTTATTTACTTTTACTTTATATTTGTCTGATATTGACATTTATTTGATGATCTTAAACATGTAGATATGACAAAAATGAGAAATATTTAAGGAGGTGAACGCTTTTTTACAGCACTTTGAACATTGTTAGCATCTCCTTGTTAGCATAATACTGCATTGTCCTCAAAACCAACAGCTAATAACTTCCATAGAGATGGATGAAGAGTGTGTAGTGGGACATCAGTCGTGCCAAATGTCAAATCGATCTTTATTTACAGAGTTTATCATCTAATGCACACAAATGTGTTTATGGATCAGAACCTGGTAGGTTTGATTTAAGTTCCTCTCAAGCTGCCAAGTTCTGCTCTAGTTAAGCCAATTGGTCCTGAATAATAGTTCAGCTGTTTTCTTGCAGTTCTGTTTTTATTTTTGAACAGAATATTGTGTTAAGGTTGTCCTGAATGAGAATGATTGTCAGGTGGCGACATAACTGGGTTAAAAAGTAACTGAAGATCCTAGAAATGCATCAAATATAACTGGTTGAAGTTTTGAAAATTAGGCAGCTGTATGTTCAGATTTCTGACTCAATCACAAATATGAAGGAAGCACAAATTAGGACGCCTTAAACATAACCCTTGTCTTCTCCCTGTTGCTCCCCCTGTTTATGTTGTTTCTCTACATTCAGCCCCCAAATCCTGTAAAATCAGCCAGGACTCATTTGGCTGAGCATTTAATTAGGTAAATTAATTTGTTTCACTGAGGTTAAAGCATCAAAACAAACCAAAGACGTAAAAAAAACAAACCAGAGGCAGTAAACAAGTCGAGCTGGTCTGCAAACCAAGCTGGACAGTTTTTACACTGTAAATCACAAAAATAAGAATACGCCTTTGAATCTGTTTACTTTCAGAACATCTGATTAGTCATCAATGAGTTATTTTTAAGATTAAAAACTCATAATGAGCATTTTTGAACCACTAACAGTGTTAATATTCTAGATTTGTGCTCAGGAAGTCGCTACTCCATCCTTGACTGGTTTTATTTGAATATTAAATGTAAAGACTAACTAACTAACTAAAAGCAGTCCTGATTTTCTCGAGATAACAGGCTTTTTTCAAGACTTTTATGCAATATTACTCCAAAAGACAAACCAGTGAAAAACACAGATGATTTCTAGCTATATCGGATTCAATTTGGTCAAAATTCAGTTTAAATCAATTCAGCAGGTTCCTTTAATTGGAGTCCAATTCAATCCAAATTTAAAAACGTAATCATCAAAAATGTAGTTAATCATTAGTTTTACGTCTAAGAACACTCAACCAAGAGGTAAACATGGGGTGACAGTGGAAAGGAAAAACTGTGGTTGGTTGCTGAGAGGACAGAACAACAAGACGGAAACAACAGAAAGTACACTGGACCAGGTGTACTTTCTATATGGAAGAAAAAGAAAGGAAAACACACGGTTAAAAGGCAGGAATAGCTCCAATAGTTAGTTTGGTCAGAAGCAAAAGAGAAGTGAGCCAGGTGTACCTTCTGATGGGGAGAAAAAGTAAGAAACAGAAGATTTTCAAAGTGTGTAAAATATGTTTTCACTACAAAAACAAGCCTTGTTATCTCGAGATAATGAGATAATTATCAGCTCATCTTCAGACAATGCCATGAAAATACATTTCTAAGCCTTTATGCTCTCTCTCCTTCTGTAGCAACTAGGGGTGCACCGATTGCACTTTTCTGGTCAATCAACGATCTTTAAAAAGCCCGACCTGCCCATTCCGATTTTTTTGTTTGAAAAGTCGGTACATATAGCGTCAAAGCCGCTAAGTCTGTTACTGTTAACACTTTGAGGAGACAGAGGCTAATCTTCAGAACAATAAGATCAGTTTTTCATCTCCCAAAGTGAAGGAAATTGTGGCTGATTTATTGGTGCACCCCTAGTAGAAACACAGTAATCATAAGAGTTCCTTCAGGCATATTTCTTTAAGATCATGTGCCACAGCAGTGCCAAATAGACCAGAGGCCTGTTACATTATGCTGCGTTGTGTCTTATGAACTGTGAGTTCGAAAATTTTTGGTACGAAAATGTTTATCAAATGTTTTGCTCTCCGTTGTGTCCTGCTTTGTTTATTCACTGCAATGCTTCTTTATAATTGTTGCATAATACGAACTTTTTTGCCAAAAGTGTTATGGCTTTCACTGTTATCCACACACACACCAACACACGCACACACGCACACACACACAAACCCTCCAGCTACTAAACTAACCAAGCTCGACTGGAGTGTCTGGACCTTGAGTGTACTTTTTGATAGTTGCTATATTGCTTCAGTCTTCTGCATATATAAGCATTTTCTGCATGGTCACTCCAAGGCAGGTTTTTAAATGAAGCCCAAATTCTCTGAACGGTGGTGACTTTTGTATGAATCAAAAAGCGGCCGTGCATGTAGCAAAAAAAGGAAAAAAGACAAAGAAAATGCTTTCAGATCTTCTTGTTTCATCTCGAATCACAGGAACGATGATTTTCCTTCAGACACAGTTGGCAAACATGATTCGCTGTTGCTACTTTGATAAACATGCGGTGTGTAATTAAACGCCTTTGTTGCACACTTGCATGCATTGAGACAGTATCCAGTTTTCTAATATTTTGTACGCAGTAATCTGCATTTTGCAGTGTGTATATAAAAGTAGCAGCAGTCTGTAGGTGGTTTGATTCTTGTTCTGATGCACACTAATATCAGTTCTTTATAGTTACAAGTGAATCATCCACTGTTTGTGCTAGTTAATGTGAACTATTAGAGCCTTAAATTATGGCATTTCTTCCACTGAACTGGACGCAGATTTACTCCTTTTTAAAGGAGATTTGAGCAAAATTATTAGTGTAACGTTTTACCTGTTGCACCTTTTTGGAAAATAATGCTAATTCACTTTTTTAAAACTAGATAAAAATGTAACATCTGACATGCTTGCCTTGATATGTGATAAAATGGCAACTAGTTGAACTCACTTCCAGGCTTCTGGAGTTTAAATGGATTTGGTTTGGTGACCCTGTCACCCCACATATGACATTTGATGGTTTCAGCGACTTACATTTTGTGAAGGTGCCAGATAGAAAATAGTCTTTAGTGGAGGTGAGAGGTTGATTCAGACACACTGTGTCTCAGCCACATATTGGCTCTGAATTTGGACTTTAAATGCAACCAGTCCATCAAAACTGGTTGCATTTGATGATTTAAGACATACAGTTTAAAGAAACAATGATGGCCTTTGCATTTCCTCATAAGAGGAAAATATGGAGCTACTTTACTTTATAAGAGGTTAATTCTGCAGGGCTTTGATGATTGTGAATCTGCAGATCAGTTCAGTGAAAGGAGGATTCAGAAATTCACATGTTTTTATGATGTAAGCAGGAAAAATGTGATCAATGAAACCGAAAATTGCTTCTGTAAGTCAACTTCTGTCCGTTCTCGACTCTAGGATTGATGGATTTAAAAGCCACATCAGTTTTGTCAGTTTGCCCAGCGCTGCATGTGATCAAGTAGATCAAAATATCAGAGAGAAAACATCTGGTTTCTCATCTGGACTGCACCCGATTCGATAAACTGAGATTTTTATGAAAAATAAAATAAAACAAACCTGACATTGAGTCTCGTCCACTCAAGGAATGAGCTTGTGATTTCTCTTGTATTTTTCTGCCAATGTTTATTGACTGGAGGCTGGAAAACCTACTGCATGGTGACTCTTCTAGGAGATGCTACCGTCTTTGTAACGAGTATCTTTTATCAGTATTTTCTAAGCTTGTTAATTTTATATATCCACTTTAACTTGCGTTCCTGACTGATATGTTTACTGATAGCTATGTACCGGAGAGCCGTGCTGTATGTTCTGTACGGTGTGCTTGTCAGTGCGTTACTTTCAGTGTGAGCTTTACTTTTCTTTTTCTATTGCGTGTTAGCTGAATTTGGTTTTCGGTTACACTGTGGTTATTTTATAGCTACAATCTAAAATATTTTTTTTCTTTTGTATTTAATGTCAACTTGTGGCATGACTTTGAAATAAAACTAGAAAATATATCCTGAATTTGTCGTTTTTGTGTGACAGAAAAATAAACTTCAAAATTCAACATAAAAAAAAAAATCATCACACATTTGGTCAGGGTAAATATTCCACACAGCTAAGAGATTGTGACCTCCACCTCCTAGCTCCTCCACCCGGCCAGTCTCTGTTTCTGCCACCAGCAGGCTCCACCTCCGAGCTAATCAGGATCAGCGGCCATGAATGAGACCCAGTACCGAGACTCCTGAGATCTCCACCGCTGACCCAGACATCAATCAGTAACTGGGCCGCAAACGCTGCACTGCCTGTAGGAGTCTGGAGCCACAGCTTCAGCAGCTTTCTGAGGGAGGAAAAACCCTGAGAGAACAATTTTTAAAAAACTGCATACCAAGAGACTGGAGCAACACAAGTCAATTTAACCTCCACCGTTTTGTGTTTTGTTAAATAATCCTATCATATCAACTGTGGAGCATTTACCAGAACCAGAACAGGAGGAAGGAGCAGAATCCTTACACAGATTGCAGTGAGGTAAGAGTGGCAGGTGAACGTGAGTTAAGAATTAGTCTTCAGCCAGGCCACAGTGCGGCCGCTCGCCTGTAGATTTAGACTAAAGCCTCTTATTGCTCGCTTTGTCCTGGGCCAGCACTTAAGCAGCCGTTATGTGCCTTTAAAGTAACAATCTGTAAAGTGGAACAGCTGTAAGTTTTATCAAACAAATGAGTGTTAGTTGAACACAGTTAATCGGTTGGGCATGTTTTTGTAATTATCAGTCAAAGAATTCATCTAGTGAAACAAGAAGCAGATGAAGCTACTTTGAACAATAAACATCCTTTAGATTCAAACAAAGTTGGAATTAATGTTTAAAATATTTTTGTATTTTTGACACCACGTTACTTTTAAAGGGAGCTGGTATGTCACCAAGTGTAGCAAAGTTCTGCAGAGGCTGGATATGGACCCATTAATTCAAATCATGTCTTGAATGAAGAAAAATTAAAAATAAGGGATGTCAGACTCTTACAACTTTCAGATGTTCCCCTGATACTTCAATCAAATAACTTGTTACGTAGTTCCTTCATAGCTGATTGCTGGTAAGGAGATTCATTCATTTGATTAGATGTGTTGGAGCCATAATGCATGAGGACTGGACTTGGTTAATGAAATGGATAAACAGCATCCTTAGTGTGTAATCAAGTTCTTTAGAGTCCTTCAAATTAACCAATTGTCTGATTATTTGGCATGTTGAAGCAGAGAATTATCAAAAGGATAGACGTTTTGGATACTGGTCCTCAACAGCTGAATCTGAACAACACTATGGTAGACATTTTGGTTTCACTTGTATACGTTTTTACTCCCATAGGTGTGAGATTTTAGGGTACAGCCACATCAGCCCTGTAAAGTTCGTGTTTATTGAACTCCAGTCCGTTTGTCTAGAAGATCCGGTTTGTTTGGGAAGGTGTGAAGTTGAACCAAAAAAGTGAACTCTACTCCGTTTACAAACCTTGGTCTTGATTTGGTTGAAGTGAACTCTGGTGCAGTTACAATGAACATGTGAATGCCAAGTGGACCACAGACTGCTCCAAAAGCAGGAAGCAAACTACAGTACAGGGCATTCTGGTTAGATGCAACCAAAACAAACATCTGAGTATGGCGCTAGTGGGAGAAATGACTGGTTGTCTTTACAAAAACCAAAAGAGAAATCCAGCAATCACTAAAATCTGACCCAACTCCTTTATTGTTTACATTTTGTAAATAGGGAAATTGTGCCTTTATCAGAGGTTTGTGTGTCGTTTCCTTCAGTGGTTCTTGGTGCAACGCCAACACAGGCGAGCAGAGGAACAGGTTTTTCTAAGGGTTTGGTTGGTTTGACACAGTGCAGTGTGAAAGAGAACCACAGCAGCGGAAAATTTAATAAATGTTGGTCCCCAATCGAATCGAGCCTACAATACTACACGGGGTGAAAACAATCTTAGTCTTGATGTTTTTGGTAGGGCTGTAAGTGTAAACATGTTAATTTCAATCCCTTAATGGTAACACTTTATTTGAAGGGGGTTGAATAAGACTGACATGACACTGTCATAAACACCTGTCGTTAACATGAATAAGCCTTCATGAATATTTATGACTGTTGTCATAAAGCGTCATTCGGTAAATTATGACTTTTAATACAAAGTTGACATTATTCAAAATGTCTTTGTTATGACAACTTGACATTAACCAAGAAATCATTACTGATATAAATTTGTTATAAAAGTATTACTGATTGCACTTTAAAAATTAGGTATCTTTATGTTATTAAAGGTAAAGTTTAAACAGTAATGATTTATTGGTTAATGTCAAGTTGTCATAACAAAGACATTTTGAATAATGTCAAGTTTGTATTGAAAGTGTCATATTTTACCGAATGACGCTTTATGACAACAGTCATAAATATTCATGAAGACTTATTGACGTTCATGACAGGTGTTATGTCATGTTTATGAAAGTGTCATGACAGTCTTATTCACCCCCCTTCAAATAAAGTGTTACCCAATTAATTACATAGATTTTATGTTACAAATTTTATTTCAATTGTGTGTTTTTTTAACACACGAAAGTCCTAAGTCGGAATCTATGTATGTGCGTGTTTCTAGTACGACCATAAATCTGACGCACAAGTGACATCCACAACAGCAATGGACGACAAAGCCTCAAAAAACAATCTGATGGGTTGTTGAAAAAGACTATTGTTGTGTTCAAGTTGTGCTAAAAAGAGTTAGCCTTGTAGTTATACTACTTCAGGATAAAAAAGCATCTCAGTGCTAAACATGTGGCGTCACCACAGACGTCCCTAATGCTAATGTCAGCGTCCACAGCCCACATTTCTAAAGAAGCTCTATCAACGATCAGTCCTTCATGAAACTTACAGACTCTGCAATTAACTTGTTTAAAAACTTCAATTGAGTCCCACTGCTAGTTTTTAGAAATGTAGCTGTGAATAAAAGCTCCTGTTTCACACAGCTTACATCACCATGGTGATTGGAGGTGCAGATGTAAAGCATGTAAGCCTCCTCTGAGGTCATGTAAAGCTCTTTAACCCTAAGAACTGCAGCTGTTCAAAATGTAATTAAGGTTAACTGCTTTGCTTAATGCTGGATCATTGTCCTGTTTATGTTTTGCAACATTTGTATTTATTTGTACATTAGAGAAGAAAGCACCTACATTTCTCAACTCGTCTCATATTCTTTCAGACACTGAATTTCGGCCATCTTGATGGAGGCGAGTCTCCCAGAGGTTCTTGGCCGATGATGAAAGTGTCCCACCCAGCGGTGCCTCTGAATCCCTGCCATGTGAGTGATACGTGTGAAGCGCACATACTTGTTAGAATAACAATGCAGACCACAGACAGATTAACAGCCAGGAGCTTTAATGAGCCTCTGTGTGTAAATCTTCCAGCAGGTTGACTTTGAGTCTTGTGAGCTGTGAAGATTAACTAGTTTGTAGTTTGTTTTAAAAGCCTTAATTTTTTTTTTTTTCTGAAAATCTGTAATAATCAGATGCATCTTCAGTCCAAGTATTAATTAAATATTTTAAACAGCAACTGAATAATTGAGATTGAGCTCACTGTGGAATACTGGCTCCAGCTCAAGTGAAGCACACACACCTCCAAACTGCAGAGGCCAAATTGTGCAGCAAATTTCCAGGTTGCAGTTTAAATGTAAAATTGAAAAACTGTGAGGTTGTTTAGCAATGAAGAGTAGGAGGATTTAAAAGCAGCTTTGTGATTTCCTTTAAGGCTACGTCCACACAGCAATTTTTGATGTTCAATTAAAATTTTTTGGTGGAATCCAATTTTTTAGATGGTTATTCATGCTACTATTAAATTTGACTGCAGTCAGAGATCCGTGTGACCGGTTTACGACCCCAAAAGCAACCCACATGCACAGAAAAATGACGTAGAGATCACACAGCAGCGAAATGTTTAGGTGAGTAATAGTGGACACTGCCGTCAATGGATTAGTTTTAAAGTTGTTGAAAGTTGTTGAGCCATGCGAGTCCACAGTATTGTTACAAGATCATAACAAGACAAAGAAAACTAAAAAAAAAAGTGATTAATTACATTAAAAAGAGTCCCGACTCCAGTCATAATGTTTTGGCCACACCCTGTGTTTCTTATTTATTGAAGTTTTGTGTCTGTGGTGAATCCTTGAGGTTATCATCATGGTTATTTTTAAATATTGTGAGGACTAAATCACTCATCTAGATTTACTCAAGAACTTTTTAATTCAGGAGCAATGTGACATTTTATTCCAGATTTCAGATTTTTTTTTATTCCCTTTGTCTGCTTTGTTTTTGTTTGTTTTTAGTGATCAGTTTAGATGTTTTCTAAAGGGGCATTAACCTTCAGAAAAACCTGTATAAGAATTTTGAAAAGTATTAATCATTCCCTCCACTTTGCAGTAATGTGTCAGTCACATCCGTTCACCTCAAGGTTTGAAGATGTGGAAAAATACTAGGGATATGAATACTTTGATGTATTTAGTACTTCGATGAAAAACGTAAACATGAAAGCTTCCAGTTTGATCTGGGTATTCTGCATTGAGGCATTATCAGTTAATCTGGTAGAGCCTTTCCTGTTGGATGGTAATTGGTCTAATTGAAGTTGTGGTTAAAGGTTAAAGGAGAAACAGATCCATATGTCTGTGTTGGAGACTGAGGATAATTTGGCTCCCTGCAGTTCAGGATAAGACGGTCTTAACATACACTAATTATTCATTATGGCTAAACAGAAGCAGCTCCTTCATACTACTAATTTAACAAAATAATAATAATAATGAAACATTTAGAAATGTTGGTTAAACCTTCAGAGTTGGTAAAGGAGCTTAAATCCTTGAATTCCAGTTAGGTATTTTCAAGGTTTGGAAAGTACTTAATTTCAAATTCAAGTTCTTGGATGTGCTTGATATTCAAATTGAACAGTTTTGTTATAAAGTTTGATTAAAAACCAAAATTTTCAACTGTTATTTACAGTTGAAGCCAGATATTTTTATAAAGACACATTTTTTTCTCACTGTCTGACATTAAATTAGACTAAACTTTTCCTGTTTTAGGTTAGTTAGAATTTCCAAAATTATTTCTACTTGCTAACTTTCTTTGTATATTGTGTTTTAAGCATTTAATTTGAGCAGGAAAGTCTTTTGCTGTAACACGATTTATTTTGATTGTTTTATTCTAATGAATATTATTCATAATGGCTAAATGACTTTTTGAACTGTGTAATTAAAATAAAGTTTGTCTTATATTTTACACATTAAAGTTATAGAAACTGGGGGATTTTGCTAAATCTGTTGTTTTTTCTTGGATCAGTCAGGTGTATAAGATGTGAGAGAGACATTTCAAAACAAAATATTTTTTATATTTTAATGTATCTTTTTCCATGCTGTAGCATATATAATACTACCACATGAAATTATTAATAACATACTATTGAATTGAAACAGTTGTTTTTAGTTAATTTTTGCTGTTTTTATCTCCGAAGTGCAGCACTTTAAAAGTTTTAAAACTTACCTTAAAAATGCTGGAAAAGTGTTTCCTTAAAGTTTAGTGAAAATCTGTTTTCTCGGATTAATTTCAACAGTTACTCCAAATATGGTTTGATTTAGGAGATTCTTAAAATTATTATATATTATTTTATTCCAGCTCCAAACTTGAATTTTTCTGCAGACTAGTGTCACAAACACAGAAACTGAAGTCATTATTACACTGCAGAAGGTGACAGGATAGTGCTTGTATCTATTTAGTTATTGAAATTTACTTTGGGGGCGTTTGGCCATATGCTACTTCAGCGTTATTGCAAACAAAGGGAACAAAAGAAGGACGACTCAGCGGGGAAGGGGCACTAAGTGATTCAGCAGTCATAGCTGCAACAACTGTGGCTGGTACTTAAACCATAGGATTAGCCCCAGGAATCTGAGTAAGCCTTTAACAGTCTCCCGTACTGGTTTGTTGTTTCCAGTTGAGCCGTGCAGCTGGTAGCAGCCATGCGCAGCCATACTTCTGCCAGCATTAAACGCTTTCTGAACGTCTTTCACCAAACTTGATCTGCTTTTCAGGCTGAACATTTTCAGAGATTTTATTGTTTAATAAGCCATTTCAATCTGACCTATTAATCATCCAGGCATTGAAAGGCTTCAAAACCTAAAGCCCTAATCTCACCAGTATAATGATATAGAGATCACCAAAGAAGTCCTACAGGTTGAGGATCAGATAAACATCTTTTACTCCCATGAATGTGTAAAAATAAGGTTGACACTTGAGAAAATGCTTGACTAGTCTGTTTAAAAATCTAACTAAAACATGACAACATAAAGAAAAAATATCTAGTCAGAAATGAAAATTTTGATAATTAAAATAATAAGGTTTTATTAATTATAATAAAAAATTTTAACTTGTTTCTTGGCAGTGCAGCATTGCTTTAAATATGTTGTTTAAGTTGTTTGAGATCTTTCTTGTTGTTTATCTTTGCAGGTCTCCCTCACATGGTGACTTCTGATGTCCTCGGGGAAACTCAGACCTGAACCATGGTTATTCTGCAGCAGGTAGGAATGAGCTGATTGGTCCATGTTGCATGTTTTTGTTTTTTCTGTTGTATTTCTGCATGGTCGCTGTTCTCCTGATGTCTTATCAGTTTAACTGAACAAACGGACACATTTATTCACCTGTGCTGTAAAAAAGAGTATAAATGAAAAACAGACCAGTTTATGAGGATAAGCAACTTTGAGAGGTCATATTATGTAAGAAACTGTTACACAGATTTACAGATCATGGTTTCTCCTGTTTATGTAAGTTTGAAAGCTATCTGTATGGAGTTCACTTTGTCTTTTATTCACCTATCCTGTAGCATTTTTCTGCTTTGTCCGTATCCATTTTTACAAATTACAGACATCATAAAGAGGGATATATAACTATTTATTTCCTTACTTTAAAATGTTAAACATTTGTGTTATCCATTCATAACAGTGACTATAGCTGCGTTTCCATTATAAATGTCTGCAAAACCTTGAAGATATTCGATTAATGTCGGAAAAACAATATTTCTCATTTGCGGTATTTCCATTGAATATGAAAATCACACGTGGATAAGTTTGTTCACACAACAAGTCATTAAAAAACATCATTCTACCATTCCCTGTCTTCTTTTTCTTTGTGGTTTCCACCAGTGGCAACAACCAGTTGTTAATGCAAAAAAACTCGTTTCCATTGTAGTTTTGCAAAATAAATAAATTATGATACAGCTGAAAAACCACCTCATCCTAGCATAAAGAGTTTTTACAAAATTGACATGTTTCCATTAAGCAAATTTATCTTCAAAACATTAAATTGTGCAATTAGAGGGTCAGTACAAACATAGCTAGAGAAAGTCTGTTTAAAATCCAAATGATCAGAAATCAATTACAACATTTGAGCTGCATTTAGTTATATCTACTGTCTTCTGGTCAGGAGTGGGAACTATTTCCCAGTGTGCTTAGTGGCATGGTTTGTATCCTATCTCCATGAGTGAGATGGAAGTGTGTTACACTGAGCTGACTCGTGTGTTATTAATGCAAATGTTTATTTTAATGCAACTGACAGTTTGCACAGCTTGATGATAATGTTCTATTCACACTGAATGTTTTTGAGCACAATTCATTGTTATGTTTAATAAAATTTAAGGTCATATCAGAAATTTTGTTCATGCAATTTGAAGCAATAATCTAGATTATTCTAAAGTAGAATAAGTAGTTATTTTAAGTTGATTTTGTGAGTAAGAATAATAGAGAATCTGTGCTCTTTAAGTTGGTGAGGGCATTTTTTCTTGCGTATTGTGAAATAATTATTTGGTTCAAATTGCAGCATTTACTTAAAACTGACAATTCAAGATTAATGTACTTAAAAACAATGTTTAGACAACTTGTCTTTTGTTGTTAAGTCAATGTTATGAGCTTTAATTTCTGAGTTAAAACCAAGACAATTTTCTTGTTGACTGAAATTGTATTTTCAAAGCAGGAGGTGGACTTTCATTTTCAAGTTAAACCACCTTCAAATGTTTTACAGTGTAAGGATCAGATTGAAAAAGACATCAGGATTTTCTCTCCCCATCACAGAGACATTTTCTTAATGTTTTTTACTTCTAAAATGTCCAACTTGGTTACATTGGTTAAAATAAGCATTAAGAATCCCATAAATTACTGACATCCTGAATGTAGGGCTGGAGAGCCTAATTTCCTCTTTCGGTTGTCATGGAAATATGCAGATTTTATGCAAATTAAACATAGAATATTAAAGCAGAGGTGAAGACCTGATGACACCATCAGGAATTAATTATATTCAGCTGAACTTAAACATGCAGAAATTTGTATTGGACTCCAGCGCTAAACTAAGTGGATTTTAAACAGATGAGTCAGACTTAGTTCATATTTGTACAGGTTTTAGTTCTGTCCAACTTAACAGCCAGTCAATAAAACATAATTATTGTAAATTTAATTTTCCTTTTAACTTGTGTAATTCACGACCTAATGCTGGACAAAATCCTGACTGCTACTGACCCAAACGCTGAACCGTTACAATGCTAGTCGCATTATGTGTAAAGAGAGCAGGCAATATGCATTTAAAGTGGCATTAAAAAGGTCTTGGGGTGTGCTGTGCTGTGGTGGTGCAGGGGTTAAGCACAACCGACATATGGAGGCCTTAGTCCTTGACGCAGCCGTCGCAGGTTCAATTCCTGGCCTGGCGACCTTTGCCACATGTCTTCCCTTTCTATCATTACCCACTTTCCTGTCAATTAACTATCAAATAAAGGCCACAAGAGCCAAAAAAATCCTTATAAAAAGGTCTTAGAAAGCCTTAAATTTGATTTGCTACAAAGTGAAGTTGCCTTGTTACAAATGTGCATCAAATATTAATGGATTGTTTCCCCGTTTTCAAATTCACCTAAGTTTACAAAGATAAATTTACCTGTAAAACAGAGCAGATGATTGTTTCTTTCTGAACTTCACTAGAAATTGGTTAAATCCTCTGTTTGTTCTAAAATTAAACTCTGTTACGTCTCTTCCTAATGGCCCATCGTGACCCATTTGGCCTGAAGTTAAGCCTTTTTCAAACTAAATCCTTCCATTCAGTCAGCTGGCAGCAGAAAAATTTGGTAATTCTGATACTTCCTGCTTATTCAACCTGCAGATCCAAACAGAAACAACAGGTTACATGACAACAAACCCACATTAGGCTGATTTTTAAAATGTTTTTCTTTGGATTCACCTCCACCTTTAGACACTAGGTGTCCTCAGTGTTCCTCTCTGGGCTTCAGATTGAAATTTTACCTTAGTAGTTATATAATTATGTGGATTTATTCCCTCAATATTATGCTGTTTAAGATGATTGACAGCAGTATTTTTTAACAAAAAAATATCTCCTTCTAAGATGTTCTTTGTCATTTCATCCAGCCTTTTTGGAGACCAGATTTATCAACTCTGAAACTGAGTCCTAGAGTGGATAAATTTCAACATGGATAAATTTCACAAATAAGTACTGTGTAAATATTAAAATGAACAGTATGTACATTTTTGTGTGCATGCAGCCAAGGTTTTGCCATGTAACTCATTCTGTGCTTTAGTTTTCCTGTTCTTTCAACTTGTCCAACTTTGTTGAAAGTCGTTTGTCAAAATACAACTAATTAAAGCCTCTTCTATTTCTGAATATTAATTGGATACATTTTGTTTATTTTTTTAAAAAGTGAAATTAGTGTCACAGAAACTAAAAAATGAAATTAGAGCAGTTTTATGGATGTAATTCACCACAGAATCATTCAGCTCGGCTGCGTTTGGCACAAACTGGAAGACATCTGACAGTTCCAGACGCCTGTAAAAGGAGTATAAATACTTTTAAGGCACATACACCAGAGAGTATGACAAACATATTTTTCAGAAAACCTTTTTAGTTTTATTAGTAATTATTCTTGCATTTTTTTTCTCCTGCTGCCTAAAATCTTAACATACATGCCTTGATCTTTCTGATGCAGGGGGACTATGTGTGGTTGGACCTTAAGACAGGTCGGGAGTTTGACGTCCCCGTTGGAGCTGTGGTGAAACTCTGCGACTCTGGACAGATCCAGGTTCTGGATGATGAAGGCCGGGTGAGTCCTCGACCCAGCAGGAGGATAAATCTGTGAGACTTATTCGGCTCACTCTACTAGTTCATTAAAATTGTTAATTCAGAATTCTATAAATTAATTAATAGCAATTAAACACAGTAAAAAGTGACGATCAATATAATCCATAAAAAAAGAACTGATTTATTCCCTAATTTCCCTTCCCTGTGCAGGAACACTGGATTTTTCCCCAGAATGCCACTAACATCAAGCCGATGCACCCGACCTCCATCCATGGCGTCGAAGACATGATCCGCCTGGGCGACCTCAACGAAGCTGGCATTCTTCGCAACCTGCTCATCCGCTACAACGAACACGTCATCTACGTCAGTGACATGTCAAGTTCACAACAAAAACATTTGCGGTGCCTGTAGTTTCATAGACTTCTGCAACACTAACTATGCTTCCATATAATTGGGCAAATTGAAATTCCAAAAATAAATTTGCTTAATGGAAAAACGATAATTGAAAAAAAAAATTATGTTTTTTAATTCCAAGTTTTTGCACTACCATGAGTTGATTTTTCAGCTGTAACAAAATTAGCATTAGCGTAAGCTAATTTTATCTAAGTGTCAAAGAAATTAGAAGACGCTAAAAGCATGACAAAAAAAAAACCTCTAAACATCCTTTTTTTTTTTTGTAGATCTAGATCTTGTAAATTTTTATTTTACTTTATTTTTTTCTGCGCCCCCTCCCAGACGTACACCGGGTCGATCCTGGTGGCAGTGAATCCCTATCAGCTGCTTCCCATCTACACTCCGGACCAGATCCGCCTCTACACCAACAGGAAGATCGGAGAGATGCCACCGCACATATTCGCCATCGCAGACAACTGCTACTTCAACATGCAGAGGAACAACAAGGACCAGTGCTGCATCATCAGGTGTGACTTTGTTCCCTCCTGAAAAGGGAACAAGCAACTCACTCTCTTCTTTTGTTTTTATTTATATATATTTTTTGAATTGGTTTTGTCTGACAGTGGTGAATCTGGAGCCGGGAAAACCGAGAGCACAAAGCTGATTCTTCAGTTCCTGGCGGCCATCAGCGGTCAGCATTCCTGGATAGAGCAGCAAGTCTTGGAGGCCACACCCATCCTCGAAGGTCAGCATCAGTCACCATCCACAAAGTTTATGTTTGTCCACTTTATAAACAAGCAGGAAGAAATTAATGCACCCTTTTATGCTTTCTTCATCATCTCCTGGTCTGATTTGTTTAACTGTTCAGCTTTTGGAAACGCCAAGACGATCCGTAATGACAACTCCAGTCGCTTTGGGAAGTATATAGATATCCATTTCAACAAACGGGGCGCCATCGAAGGGGCCAAGATAGAGCAATACCTGCTGGAGAAATCTCGAGTGTGTCGACAGGTCAGATGATTCTGTTCAGATTTACTCCAGAACAGTTTTAGCTGAAATTAAATTGTTTTCTGATCTGATATGTTCTTCTGTACTACTGGAATCTTCTATAAAGAGAGGAAATATTTTCTGAAAAATATAATTAAATAAAAAATATATCTAAAACTGATTCATGCTGGAGGTATTGCAGACATCTCCATATTTTCTGAGATTTTCTGAATTGATCTAAAAAATGTGATTCTAACAGAGCAGAGTGAAAACTAACATGAATGTTGATTTGTTTTTCTCTCCTGCAGGCAGCCGATGAGAGGAACTACCACATTTTTTACTGCATGTTGAAGGGAATGGGTCCGGAGATGAAGGCTAGGCTGGGTCTGGGCCTGGCCAGGGATTACTGCTACCTCACTGCGGTAAAACTGACTGTTATTTACACTCACCGTATAAAACATCTCAGCCATTTTTTACAGTTTTAAACCAGACAAAACCTTTTCGACTTTAGTTCAGTTAAGATTAACAAATTACTAGAATACCATTTTTGAAATATTTTTTCTTAACCTTGAGTCAGTAAGTGATACATGTCATTTTATTGAGATAAGGGGTAGTTTTAGTTAAGTGTTGAATTCTCTTTTCAAACGGAAAAGTAGTGGTAAGTCAGTTATTTTGTTGTTATTTCCTGACGAAGCTATAGTGCAACTGTATCAAATCTCTAGGCCAACATTGACATTAGTCGCATCTCCATCAGCATTTTTTATGTTTATTTTGAAGTACCACATTATAAAAGGTTGACAGAAACGGCAAAATTTGAAATAACTTCCTTGATTTTGCAAAAAGGTTTTTACGCTCGCTTGAGGTAGTTTTCAGCTTTTCTGAAAAAGATAATGAGCCAAAGATGGAAACAAATTGACCGAATAAGTTCTGATGTTGCAAACATTCCTGTCCACTGGTGTGTCTGTGCCTGACCAGAGGCAAAATCTCCACAAAGTCCACACCTTGGGGCTGGAGAAAGGACTCTCTCCATTTTTCTGAGAAGTGTGGCTCATGCTAGCTGCCAACTTCTACTTCCTGCTTGTTACAGCCATGTGTAGCGTCAACATCTAACAAAATTCACTTTACGTAGCGTGGTTGATTCACTCCAAAGGTTAGGTTACTCAATAATGACACTGCACTGACCAAGAACTGTCAAAGCCTCCCTGTCCTCGCTGTTTCCAGGGTAACTGTACTGAATGTGATGGCCGCAATGACCTGGCTGATTATTCCAGCATCCTGTCGGCCATGAAGGTGCTCATGTTCAGCGAGACGGAGTACGTGGAGATTTCGAAGCTGCTGGCGGCCATCTTGCATATGGGCAACCTTCGGTTTGAAGGTATGTGAACGCCTCAGAGTCATTATTATTTGTGGAGGCGTGGAGGTTCTTTAAATGTATTCTCATTACCTGCAGCTCGTACGTACGACAATCTGGACGCCTGTGTGGTTGTGAGATCTCCTGACCTAGTGACTGCTGCTTCACTCATGGAGGTTTGCTCCACTCTAGCAATACTGCCTATAAATGGATCTATGCTTCTTAATTTATTGGGACATCTTTTTTTTCCCCAAAAAACTTGATTTAAAATAAGAAACATACAGGAACAAAATAAAACACAGAAAGTAGAGAACAAGACAAACATAAATTCAATATCTAAGGGAATTATAAAACGTGAATTATATTGTCAAAGCTAAATTGGTGCTCAAGGGCTGTAGTTTTTCAAAGGCAGATATAATCTGTATTGAAGCCAGTGCTTCAGCATCAGTGGAACTGGTGTTTATGACTGATGCTTTAGAGTTAGTGCTAATTTTTTAGTTAGCAGTGCTAAAATATTTGGACATATTTTCAGTTTAAAGTAGAAAAATGTAGAATTTAGCATTCAGAACTTCATTTCTGACTGTAACTTCTATTTTATAGCCTTTTTAGACCCTTATTAACAGATTATACAATGCTGATTCACAACAAAGGCTCTCTCATGGCACTTTACACAAATATGTCACTTTCTGGTCCATAAATGTATAACTAATCCAATAGTATCTGATTACAGACGGATTTAAATTCAATTATATATTTTTCAGTTTAATTCGATTGTGTGGTCTGACAGCAAACATTTCCCTTTTATCTGAATGTCAGTCTTCACAGCACAGATAACAAAGAGCCCATCCATAATAGAAAAAGCAACACATTTTGCGTGGTTCTGTACTGCAGGTGGAGCCGAAGGACGTGATGGTGTGTTTGACCACTCGAACCCTCATCACCCGGGGTGAAAGCGTCACCACGCCGCTCAGCGTGGAGCAAGGTCTGGACGTCAGGGACGCCTTCGTCAAGGTATTTATTATTTATGCTTTCAAGAGCAGCTTAATAAATCCAAACACAGAGTTGTGTTGCTGTGAGCTTCTTCCTAGAGGTTTGGTTGAATGTTTTATTCTTGCATTAACTACAGTTAATATAAGCTTCATCAACAAAAACTCACAAAATATGTGAGCAGAGCGGTTTCTGACCTATACCTTTCATTACGTTTCAGTCATAAAAAGTATTAAAAATTATTTTGTTTTTGCTTTTGCTTTTTTCATCAGTAAACAACTGTCTGTGATTTGCTACTAGACTGTAAGCTAATCCCCTATTTTAGAAAGGCAGGCCCAAATGTTTGTGCCATTATGTACTGTATGTGCTGTAATTTCTGTAAATAAATGAGAAATTTAGCATGTTGCATGCACACTGATGTGTGGTTTCTCCTTCTGCAGAGAATATAAACAGTCAAGGACTGTAAGGCAGCTAAAACCAGAAGTTATCAGGCAATCAGCTTGGGGCCAAAATGATCTGTTCTGGACAAGCTTTTTTAATACTTTGAAATTAGGTTCAAATGTCACATTTAAAATCTTTCTTGGGAACATTGTGACGTTTTTGAAGGACTCCACACCCACATATTCATATTTTACTTTTTTTACATTTTGTCAAGCTACAACCATAAACATAAATGTTTTTGTTGAGATTTTGTATGACAAACACAAAAAAGAGTATAATTGTGAAGCAGAAGAACAAAATGGTTTTCAAATGGTTTTATAGGCAGATATCTAAAAATGTTTGTTGTGTGATTCTCCAGTACCTATTAACATCTATCTAAAGCACTCTGCTTCATCACACCTGAATTAAATAATTTAATAAGTGCAACTGTTTGCAGGATGTGTATTTTTTGTCAGAGTAGTAACTCTGCTGATGGAGCAGAGTCCCCTCAGATCAGTCCTTCAGTCTGTCTCCAGATAGGTTTGTGTTCTCGCAGTTAAGCTAATGTAGGTTTTCTGACTTTATGCTTTCTCATGCAGGGGATCTACGGCAGACTGTTTGTCTGGATAGTAGATAAAATCAATGCAGCCATTTACCGACCTCCTTCCTGCGAGAGTAGTGTCATCAGAAGGTCTATCGGACTGCTGGACATCTTCGGCTTTGAGAATTTTCTCATCAATAGGTGATGAATCACTATTCTTTTCGAGGGTTGAACTTCTTTTAAGGTGATTTTTTTCTGAATTGTCCGACTGCTTGTGTAGCTTTGAGCAGCTGTGCATCAACTTCGCCAACGAGAACCTGCAGCAGTTCTTCGTTCGCCACGTTTTCAAGCTGGAGCAGGAGGAGTACAACCTGGAGGACATCAACTGGCAGCACATCGAGTTCACAGACAACCAGGAGGCGCTGGACATGATCGCCAACAAACCCATGAACATCATCTCCCTCATCGATGAGGAGAGCAAGTTCCCAAAGGTACGACTCAAAGGATCAAACACAGTTTTGTTCTGCAAAGTTATGTGTGGTGTAAAGAGCCTGAAAATAGTTTCTTGTCCATCTTTTGTCAGGGAACCGATGCTACGATGTTGTATAAGCTGAACTCACAGCACAAACTCAACACCAACTACATCCCTCCAAAAAACAGCTACGAAACCCAGTTTGGCATCCAACACTTTGCTGGGGTGGTGCATTATGAGTCCAGAGGTTTGTTCACCCCAATCAGAGATTAATCTTCTAATTTATGGTCTTTATCTGCATTATAGTGAGTTATGTTTAATTATATTAAACTAATCTGTCTCATAATCCATCAGAAATCCTGCTATATATGAAATGTCTTTATATATATATATATATATATAAAGACCTACAAATCTGATCAAAACTATTTTCTTTAAATGCACCACCTAATGCTATCATGCACTCTTTTGAGTTAATTCAGACTGAAGTTCAAGATATGATGGTTTGTTGAAAAACAGAGATAATCTTATAACCAGTTAGTCTATAAAGACCTCCAACTATGAACCTGCTTATAGTAAATCATGTGAATTGTACAATAATAAAAAAAAGAACAGAAATTGCTCAGAAAAAGAATGATGCATTTGGAGCATATTTATCAGAAAATTTGCACAAAGCTTACAGACTTAATCTTTTGTCAAGATTGTTTGTGTATGAAGCTTTTGTTCAATCCGAATGAGTCAACCAAACCCTCTCAGTGTTTCCCATTTCATTCATCCTTCAGGATTTCTGGAGAAAAACCGCGACAGCCTCCACACCGACATCATCCAGCTCGTCCACTCGTCCAAGAACAAGTTCATCAAGCAGATCTTCCAGGCCGATGTTGCTATGGTAATGCCTGTTTCCTTTCTGTTGTCATTCAAGGTGATGACGGGTGGTGCAGCGCTGCACCTCACACATCCTCTCACTCTTCTGTCTCCTCTGTGTTTTTACTTTTTAAACATCAGTTTCTTTGTGGCTATCAGCAGCCGAGCACCTCCGCTCCCAAGGTAACATCGACAAACTGTGGTGTCTGTGTTTGCTTAACTTCAACCAAAGTCCAGCAGCGTGACTAGCAGCCTCCCACTCCAGTCGTTAGTCCTTTTCTCCACAGGAATATGGCTTGTTGCAGGAAACAGCAACTTTTATAAGCTACTTAAATATATGCATATATTAAAAGTCGTATCGGTGTCAATAATAAAATATTTCCTTATGCTGTAAGTCTCAAAATCTTCCAGAGTTAATACTCTTTTTCAGAAAGATTAATTTTGTGCAGTTTTGGCCAGAATATCTTGTGCATCTTCATGCACAGGGACTCATTTCCAGGCATGTATGATATTGCACTGTCAACTGGAATGTAACTGGAGCAGATTAAAAGAAAACTCGTTTGAGGTTTGAAGAAACTGCAGCTTTTTAACAGACATCTTGTGAAGATTTTTCCTTTCCCCTGACTTTCTTTGTGCTACAGCAACGTGTGCCCCCTGTCCTGTGTTGTGCATTGTACACAATGTTTGTTAATGTTGTGAATTTCCTGATAAATATATGACATTTAATAAACTGGTTATCTTTATCAGTTGAAATATGGGTAAGTATGTTAGTCAGCTGATCTACAATTATTTGGTAAAAAGATTTATAAAGTCTGGTTAAAATAAGGGGACATTTCACAGAAATGAATGTTTCATTCATAAAGTTTCAGGTGTTATTGGGACAAACGGTGATCAACCATTCTCGATGACCGTATTTTCAATCCTATTTTAGGGATGAAAGATTTTACTGTATGAGTCGGAGTACTTGCTGCACATTATGACAATCCCTTCTACATTTTGTGTCCAATTCAATCATGCTTTTAATTTTCCTTTAGTTGATTTTCTTTTAAGCATTTTTACTGTTACAATACTGTTAACTAATTTGTGGTTTGCAGTATTTTTCTTCCTTTTTATTAGTTATTTATTTTATTTATTAATATTTTTTTGTTTTACCAGTTTGTTTGTTTTACACTGTATTTTTAGGGTGTTGAAACAAGAAAGCGTTCTCCAACTCTGAGCAGCCAGTTCAAACGTTCCCTCGAGATGCTGATGAGGACGCTCAGCGTGTGTCAGCCGTTCTTTGTTCGCTGCATAAAGCCCAACGAGTTCAAGAAACCAATGGTAAGAGTCTCTAACCAGTGACTGCTATGCAGTCTTCCACAAACAAAGAGATCCCTCATGCTAGGTTAAGCTAAGTAAGGATCAAACTCACTGTGGTGAGCAGTGAACCCCGTAAATGACTAATATAACATATTTTCATTGTAAAATCTGTAAAAAATATATTATTGATTCTCTGTTCTGAGATTTTCGAAGAGTAAAATGTAGCATGAAGATGAAAGTAAATGTGATTATCAGAATTGGTAGAAGGAGGTTGTTTGCAAATAACAGTTGCCTGTATCAAATTGACATTCATTTTTTCCTAAAATAAGCATTTGCTCTGTCATTTGCATTCACCAAATTTTGTTTTAACATCTGATTTATTCTTTTCTTCCCCTGCAGTGGACATTTTTTTAGAAGATTTTTCCACTTCAGTGTCGTTACCTTTTAAATAAACAACAAAAAATTATCAGCTATATAACACTACCACCTTCCAAATTTTTGATAATGTTTTGTTTATAGTTTATTTCTTTCCAAATTCTCGACACAATTAATAAATGCCGATGTTTTCTATCAGAATGCAGCTTGTTAGCAATAGCTAACTTCACTCTGAGCTCTAATACACAAATTCAACTGAAAACTTGAAAAAATAAAACAATTAAAACAACTAAATATAATTTCTTAAATGTGGTGTTATACCCATTTTCACAGTTTTGGCACAATTAAATTAAAATCCTGTCTTTAGTCATGCTATGTTTGAAAATGCGTATCAAAACTATAGACTTGCAGCTTTTCCAGTCTCCATTTTTGGCCAAATACAAATAAATCTTCCCATCTGTAAATTAATAATGACAAAATCAATCAGAACTTGCAACATTTTTATCCTGTATTAGTATACTTTTTAGTTGATAATGATGGGTCGTGTGTTTCTGCATTATTTTCCTCAGTTATTTGACAGAGAGCTGTGTATTCGCCAGCTGCGCTACTCCGGCATGATGGAGACGATCCGGATCAGGAGAGCAGGTTATCCCATCAGATACAGCTTTGCTGAATTTGTGGATCGATATCGAGTCCTGATGCCTGGAATCAAACCTGCTCACATACAGGTAAACAGCACGATCTCTTTGGTTTTTATCTTATTCTCTTTTTATCACATCTCTGTGGACACGGTTACATCAATATTCTTCTGTTGCAGAGCATTAAAGCATTTTTGACGGATTTTATTTTGATATTGACATCAATAGTGAAATGAAATCTTGAAATTATTTTGTTTTTGTTTTTGTAAAAACAAACAAACAGTGTTCTACTAGTTTTCTTAAACTGTAACTTGCCCTGATTTTGTTAAAACATTTTCCTAATGCAGACTTTCTTGGATTTTTCTGACCATTTGAATATTTTCTTTATCTGCTATTCCTCACTTTTGAGTACTTAGTTACTTTTTTTTTCATTCAGGATGACCTGAAGGGAACCTGTCAGCAGATAGTCTCAGCCCGGTTGGGAAAACAGGAAGACTGGCAGATTGGAAAAACAAAGATTTTTTTAAAGGTTGGTTTTCCTATGTTATCAGTTGATGAAATACGGTGCTTAAGTACAGTTCAGCGAGATCTAATGTAGATCATTTTTTCTGATTTGCAATGTGTTGCATGAAATTGTTTTTTATGGTCATAAATCTTATCATCCCCATTAAAAATTGGTCGAGCCTCCTGAGTTATTCTGTGCAGTCCTGGCAAAGTTTTTTTTTCTTACTTCTCACTTTGTGTTTTCCTGTCAGGATCACCATGACATGCAACTGGAGATCGAGAGAGATAAAGCCATCACCGATAAAGTCATCCTCATCCAGAAATCTGTGCGTGGATTGAAAGCGAGGTTAGTGGAGAAATCATGGAAGCTGTGTGTTTTGAGAAATACGTTTTTTAAATTTCTTCTCTTCACAACATTTGCTTTCATTTTCCATTTTCTTCATAAAATCATAAACTGAGCTGATCCTTTTAAAGTAAAACCGCCCTGAAGGGCTAATATTTGATTAAAATGCTTTTAAAGCTTCCTAAGCTATTTTCTGCCAGCTTGTGGCAGTCGCCTATCCAATCTGTGGCATGAAGCATGCAGGTGAGTTTACTATAAATATAACTTATACAAACACCTAAGTTATTTTTTGAGCTTGATATTTTTTATTGAAAACATTGTAAGTCAAATACTGTTTTTGAAGAAAAAGAAATAAAAGCTGTTTTATCATCTTGAAGGGTGAGTTTTCAAACCATGCTGCAACTGACTCCATAAACATAGAAAGGTGCATTGAAACAGTTTAAACATATTTACTAAATACAATAAAACCATGTCTTCAGCATCTTTAATCCTGCAACAGGTCATGAATATAGCAGATCATTTATATACAAACTTAAAAAAGGGGACCAACAGCTGAGCTATAGATGAAAATATTTGTATAAATATCTATGAATGTATATTAAAAACTACTTATTGAAGTTCAAAGAATTGATTTTGCATGATGGAGTTGTGGTTTAATGTGTATTTTCTGTTTCTTTGACAGGTCAAACTTTCGCAGACTCAGGAGCGCTGTGGTTTTTATTCAGAAGGTCTGGAGGGGGTACAGGATCAGAAAGAATTACCAAATTGTGAGTCGTTCTGATTCTTGGAGCGTTTTGTGTGTGGTTTTTCTAGATGCTAAAAGAGATGTTTTCTCTTAATAGCTTAAGGCAGTGGTTCCCAAACTTTTTCTTCTGCGCCCCCCCAGTGGTTTCCAAATATTTTCTGCGCCCCCCTATGGATTACAAATGGCTGTCTGGTTGAAGAC